CACACTTACAACCATTTGCTAAGCACCCCATGATCACATGATTGCTATTTGCAACCTTCCATGTCAGCATCCCTAGAAAGTGAAAGGGAAGCTGGCAGGGAAGATTGTAATTTGCTGGGGGTACGTCTCATGCGCTCTCGCCAACCCCTCTGCATTCACATGGGTCACTTGTGCACACTCCCCAATCTACGCTGCATCCTCAAGCCTCCTCCCCAAAGTTGTATGGTGCCTCTCGCAGTCTGCACACATCCTCATATTGCCTTCCTGAGCTGCACAACACCACTTACAGACCCCCATACACCCTCCCCAATCTACCCAGCGCTTCCTACGCACCTCCTTATTCTCTCCAACCCATGCTGCCCTTCTCAAACACTCCCATGCACTCTTCTCAACTTTCCCCAACCCATGTACCACTCACTTACACACCCTGACCAATGCTGCACCTCTCGCATACACACATGCACCCTTCCCATAGCATGCCTTTCAAGCACCCCTGTGCACTCTCTTAATCTGCCCTGATCCACATTGTGCCTCTCCTATCTGAAATCCTAATTGTTTAAATGAAAAACTAAGATTCAACAGATTCAGAACATTCATTCACATGTTCAAACCCAAAACCTAGATATGGAAAAATAAGCTCTTTGAATAGTGCCAGAAAAGAAACTGGAAGTCAATGTATATCTTTCAATATTTGAGGGGGAATCTCTTTGGGAAGCTGCAGGTTACATGTCAGGTCCAAGGATTGAACAGCTATAGTGCTGGCAGACTCACAAATAAATTGTTTCTACTTCTATTAAAGAAATAGTTTATTCTACAACCTAAAGTCATTTTCCTCATTTACCTATATTTATTTTGCTTTCTCTTATTGCCTATCACCAGAGTTTCCGTTTGTCATCTATCAATCTAGCTCTTGTCTCTTAAACTGGTATCATAAAGATGATTTCAGAAAACTGAAATACATATAGCTATTGGAGATTGGGAGGTTTTTTAAGATATAAGAAAAAAAAATGCACGAATAACTAAAAACGGTATTATACTGTTTAGCTAGGAACTCCAATAGATCCACACCAATTTCAAATGTGCTAGTCATGATAGTCATGATATATACAAAGATAAACAGAAAAAGAAAAAAGAGCTTCAAATATGGGTTAAATATCATTTATTGGAAGGTTAATTGGGAAACTGTCTCAGAATTTAATCTCTCTCAGAAACTTCACAAAGTTCTAACTATCTTAATGGAGATTCTTTCATATCAATGAGTGGAAGAAATATTACTACACTTGCAACAACAATAATACACATTTAAGTAACATAGCGCAGTGGTGGCGAACCTATGGCATGGGTGCCAGAGGCACCACTCAGAGCACTCTCTGTGGGCATGCGTGCTGTCGCCCCAGTCCTAGGCCTTCAGCTGAGTTTTATAAAACCTTTTCGCTTTAGGCCTCCGCCGCCGTGTGCAAAAAAAAAAAAGGTTCAATCAGTCAATTTCAACTTCTCGTGGGGAAAAAAAGATCTTGTAAAGTTGGAATTGATTGACTGAACTTTTTAGTCCCACCCAGTCTGCCGTTATCACCACAGCCATACCCACCCAATGGGTCATACCCACCTACACCCACCTGGCACCCAATGATGCATGTGGGTTTTGGGTTGCAGTTTGGGCACTCGATCTCTAAAAGGTTCACCATCACTGACATAGCGTATAAGGATATTTGTATTTACCAATCATTTAGTTGAAGAAAGTAAATTTCAAGAGTCAAGTGAGATAGTTCAATTTATTCAATAAAGCTGAAATTCCTTACAAATATTTTTATCTGCCTTAAAGACACAACTGTTATTCAATTCTTAAATGTTCCCTGCTTAGTTAACAAAATACTTTTGTATCTATTCTAAGGATAACAAAAACAGAACATTTCTAGTTATCCACTCTATATTTTTAAAATCACTTAATCATCAGATTTAAGAACATAATAAAAAATAGAAGTTTAAACCAATGATCTCATGAAGCTGATTTAAAGTCTGTTTCTGTAAGTTTTTGGACTGTAAGTCAAATCTTTCATCAATATCTATATAGAAAATCTATATATACGTTTAGAAATACAAAGTTAATGCTGAAAGCAGAAAAAAAGGATTGAGTTTTCAAACATCAAATTATTAAGTGCATTTATGTGTATAAATAAGTTATTTACCCTGACAAAATGTTTTCTTTCTATAGAACTCCAAATACATCTGGGTTATGGGAAACATTTCCAGAGTGGGCCTTTGACAGTTACTTGCTAATCATTTGGTGGAGTACTTGAAAAATACAGGCAAGTGAGAAAAAAACAACCTTTTGACATCCACATTTTCAAACAAATAAGCCACCAATTAGATCAGTGGTTCTCAACCTGTGGGTCGGGACCCCATTTGGGGTCGAACGACCATTTCACGGGGGTCGCCAAACAACGCAGTCCGCCATTTTTCCCCCTTTTCCTTACTGTGCTACTCCCTTTTATTCTATTGGCTTTTGAAAGCCAATAGAATAGACTCTCTTGAATAGAGTCTAATTTTATTGGCTTTCAAAAGCCAATAGGAATTGTCCAGGCTGTCTCTGCCCTGCTGAGCCTGCGAAAAGTCCCATTCTGCAAACGATGCTGCAAGTTGTCTGCAGCAAAGGCGAGCTGTCTGGAAGTTTCCACCCCTCCCTGCTGAGCAACTACTAAAAATGTAAGTAAAAGAGGGTCAGGCGTGGGAGGTGGGAGGCCGGCGGGCGCAGGGAGGGTTGCTGGCGTGCGTGGGGCCTAGCTGGTGCCTTACCTCCCTTGGGCTGGGCCAGCTGGTGGCCCAGCCGGTGGGTGGCCTGTGCCGTCTCTGCCGCTTGCCAGCTATGCCTCGGCCAGCGCAGGGGGCGGCACCACGCATGCGCGGCGTTCCCGGGCAGGAAAAGTGCTTGACTTACGACTGGTTGGGTAGTCCTTGACTTACGACCGGTTGGGGGTTGCGGCATTAAAAAGATTGAGAACCACTGAACTCGATGGTCTCAACATATTTATAAATATTATAATATTTAATATATAATAATTTTATAATATTAAAATATCCTAGTACCCCAAGAGAAAACTAATAATCTGACTAGGGTCTAATTTTATTAAAAAGAAAGTTTACCTATTATTCATTCACAAGTTGCAATATTGGAAACTTAATCAGAATATATGACATATGTAAACATGTGTAATTCTTAATAAATTTATAATAGGGCTTGTTTAAAGGCACTTAAGATTTCAACCTTGACATAACGTTTAACATATCCCAAGCACTCTATTTTTAAAAGTAATTTGATTTAACCTTGCCTTTCTAATTAACTGACTTCTCAAGAAGCTACAACGAACGATCTAGTAAAGTGGAAAATTGTAAGAACGCTTTTATGATTAGCCCAGCATACTATTTCCTGTGGTAGTCAACTTGTCTCAAAGCTCTCCCTGTGAATTCTAGAAAGAAAAGATGACAGGGTGATTTTATGAACAGTGCTCTGAGATCCAAATCTTCACCCAAAAATATCTCCCAACAATTAAAGCAATGCCCATGGTTGGAACAAAGTACACTAGAGTAATTATAATGGTTTTCTGCAATATTTTCTTGCCTATTTTTGCAAATAAAATCTCATTAAATGACACCCATTGCTAACGTCATCAGTAAAAACTTCATTTTCTTTTTTGGTAAGACATTAGTTGCTCTTCCTCATTTTCTCTAATTTAACAACATAAATAACAAATGACAAAATCTGAATCCTCTCACATTTTAAAATTAACACTAATTAAGCAAAGTCTAAGGAGCCAGTTAAAACCAGAAATTTTCCAAGAACTGGTACAAGCAAAGACTACTTTAGAAATAAGGCATTCAGAAGCAAATTCTTCAGACTAATTCTTCAGTAAGACACTGTTGATTCTCACCTTTAAGTGGAATATACATAATCACATCCTTTTATTCCAAACACAATTACACTTACCCTGCTAGGCAGAGAAAACTGCCAAGTAGAAAAAAACCTACCAACTGCTTGCCCATATGCACTTCCAAGAACATCACAAAAGGCTGCAAAAATAATAGCAGAGCAGGAGGTACTCTTATAACACACTTCAACCCAACTAGGTCTGATATGTATATTTACTAAGATGCAGTAAAAACTTGTACAGAAATAACTTTTTTCTTCTCCTGACCAGGCAATGTTAAAAGTGCTAGGAAAAATCTACAAATAAAAAAAAATCTGACAGCAATAAATTTAATTTTATGTGGTGAGCAGTTGCAGCTTTTCAAACCACCCAACAAGGGAAAACATTTCCTACAGCAATTGAACATTAAAAACAACCCTGGTATTAACATTCAATTTCTACACAAAGCATCCTTGAACAATATTGCTTGGGAAAAACCATTCGGAGTCTGGGTGATTCAACGTTTGGCCAGGGGAAAAATACTCCAGCAGAGACTCTTATCGAAGAACGGCTAAACATCTTTAACTTGGCTAGTTTTGTATGGACAAGCTTTCTTCTTCTTCTCTGTTGTGGAAAATTGCACACCCGTGCATCATTTCCTGCCCTTATTTTGACAATTCCACTAAGTCCGGAGGAAATATAAGGGTGCCTGTCGAAAAGGAGAACGAAGCATTTTTTCCATGGGGGGGGGGGAGAAGAATGCCTATCATTTGCTAAATTATCCATAGGGAGCTTCTGCGAGAACCTACCTCCCAAAGAGGAAAAAAAAAAAGAAGGGGGGGAGTCATTATTTTCGATCCCCTTCGCCCTCAAGTCCTTTCAGGTAGGCCTGGGTCCCGGTGTCCTCCCGCTCAGAGACGCCTCTTTCCCGAAACGCAAAGCGGTTTCCCCTCAGTCTTCTCTGGCTTAACTGCCTCTCTGTCTCTGTCTCTCTCCTTTCCCACCCCCTCGCCACAGGCCCGGGAAGCTCAAGTTCACCCGGTTCCCAACCGACGAGGGGGCTGCCTGGCCCGGCCCAGCCCATTCGGGCGCGCTCACCTTTTGTATCCGCTTCAGCGCCATGGGCAGCGGGAAATGCGGGCGGACCGGTGTGGGGAAGCTGCGAGGAGGAGGAGGAGGAGGAGGAGGAGAGCGTCGGCTGCTCCAGGAAGGGGGAGGGCGGGCGCTCGCGGGGCGTGTTAAGGCCGAAGCCGAGGTGCCGCTCCGCTCCTAATCGACGGATCTTTTGTTTCCGCTCCTACTAATAGACCGCACGCGCCACCCACCAACCTCCTGCTGCCCGAGATGCATTCTGGGATGTGTAGTTCCAGCAGGACGGGCGATGCAGCATCCTCTGGAGTTGCGTTCGTGGTCGTCGGATAGTTCTCAGGTTGGAAGCGCTGGTTGTTGCCAGGGGTCGACAGGATTCCAATTATGAACTCGCTGCAATAATCTGGGAGTAATCTGGGGAGACGTTAAACAGTTTATTTAAAAAAAGTGGTTTTTTTGCAAAATAACAATACAAATATATATATAAGTAAATATAAGTAAAGAGAACAGTGAAAAATAGGAAAGAAATGGAAGAAAAACAGAAAAAAGAAAGAAAGAAAAAAGACATTTTTAACATTTTTCTATTTAGGGAATCAAGGCTTTTTTATTTCTGCAAATTTCAGCATTGTTTCCAGTCAACTGATATTTCTTCTCTTGGAATTGGGTGTTACTGTTTTGGTCACAATTAGGTGATTCTCTCAACTACCCTTCAGACTTTTCAGTTTATTTCTGCTACTGTGCATGGGTCACCTGAGCTAAGATAGAAGGGGGAGGTTGTATAGACCTTTATTCAACCCTAAGAAGAACTGGATTTGTTCTTGAAAAAAGGAAAAAAATGGAGCATTATATGTACCTAGTTATCTTCTCCAATCTTATGTGGGAAGTCAGCCCCACAGAAGGAAATATTAAAAAGTGCAGAAAAATATATTTCCTCAAAAGGATTTTAAAAAGCAGAAACCAACCCTGCCCCCAAGTCTCTCTGTCCCAAGCAGGAGCCAGCTCTATACAAGTGCAGATGTAAACTATCAGAAAGGCCACAGCTAGGAGATCAAGAAGACAAAAGACCTAAATTCTGCATACTCCATCCAAACTCTAGGAGCCATTAGCCCCATTACTAATGGCAATCTTCTTCCCAAAGCAGTCGCCATGTTGTTTATTAATTCCTGGATTGGATGAACCAGGATGAAGACTTGGGAGGGATTCCATGGATGAGTATCCTCAAGGGGAAAACAAGAAGCTTGGGAAATATTTTTTAAAAATAACCCAGTCTAGCACAATACCAACAAAGAAGAAAAATAATAGCTCTCAAAAGAAACCAGCATGGTTGCATAAAGAGCACTGATAAATTGAAAGATAAAAAGGGCAAGTATAAAAAGTGGAAAGAGGGGCACATAACTAAAGCAGAATATTAGCAAACAGTCCGAGCCTAAGGCTCAAAATGAACTTGTGCCCAAAGTCAAAAATAATAAAAAAAAGCTTCTTTCAACATGTAAAAAAAACCAAGAAAAAAAGTTAAGGAAATGATTGGTCCATTAGTGGGGGAAAGTGGCAAGAAAGTGACAAGCAACAGGGAGAAAGCAGAACTATTTAAATCAATTTTTTTTTTGCATCTGTCTTTACAAAAAGGGGGGGAAACAGTCCAACTTATCAAAAACAGTACCATAAAAATAGATTAGAAACACAAGTTAAGGTAGGCAAGAAAATGGTAAGTGAGCACCTATCCAGCCTAGATGAGTTCAAATCACCAGGACCAGATGAATTACACCCCAAGGTTCTCAAGAAACTGGCAGATGTGATCTCAGAACCACTGAACTATATTTTTCAAAGATCTTGGAGCACTGGGGAACTATCAGAGGACTGGAAAAGAGCTGATGTAGTTCCCCTTTTCAAAAAAAGAGAAAAAAATAGATCCAGGAAACTACAGACTCATCAGCCTGACCTCAATACTTGGGAAGATTCTGGAATAGATAATCAAACAAGAATCAGCGAACACCTAGAGGCAAACAAAGTCATTACTAAAAGCCAACATGGGTTTGTCAAAAAACAGATCATGCTAGACACATCTTACTGCATTCTTTGACCCAGTTACAAAATTGGTGAACCAGAGGAATGCTGTGGATATAATTTTCTTGGACTTCAATAAGGCATTTGATAAAGTACGTATAGGGTTTCCTGCCTGAGCAGGGGGTTGGACTAGATGGCCTCCATGGTCCCTTCCAACTTTATTATATATTATTAAATGCAAGAATGAAACCTTTCTAGCAGATGAACTTAAAACATTCCCTTCTGGTAACTTTGGGCTGTTCTTAAGAGTACAAAGAGAGAAAGGGGAAAAGAAACAAACAAACAAACACATTTCTCTTTACTCTGTTGGCCAGACAAACAGAGTGAGGGTATTTCCTTTTGGTCGCTTAATTTAAGCAGAATTTCTAGCAGAATTTTAAAATTCTTTTCTCTTTGGATTAGAGACAGTAAACAGTCACATTTACCTCACACACAAAGACTTTGACACACATATATACACAAAGACAAGAGAACAGAAAAGGAAACAGAAGTCTTAGTTTTCATATCCTAGTCATTCCCACTATAAATCTCAGATAACTCAAGTTAGGGAAGGCACACATTTTAAACATACCACGTGGTTGCATGGAGAGAGAGAGAGAGAGAGAGAGAGTCACTATTTCTTATTTTCCCTTTAAGTACCTTTATTTAGCCAAATTGGTTTCCTAGCAAAGCCCATTCTTCACAAATTTGTCTTGCTCGCTCCACACCTTGAGCAAATCTCCAATAAGTGTCCTAATTCCAACCCTCAAACTGCAGCTACCCATGTTCCCCTTCTGATGTGGGGTTCAATCTGGCTCAGTCAGGTTTCTCCTAGCAGCACTTCCTGGCCGCTCTTAGTGACAACAACCCTGCCAACCTGCCTGTCAGTTTTTGGGCACTAAAAAATTGCCCAGGAAGACACCGGTTCCCTACATGGAGTAAGGGCCCTTCCAGTTTAGGGAACTCCCTGCCGTCACTTGGCGGACCTCAAAAATAAATTGTCTGAGGAGGACCTGCTACACAGGTACCCAGCCTCCATTTATACCCTGCCTGCAATTTTCAGACTTAGGAGAAGTCTGGGAGACCTGTGCTTTGTGCAGTAGTATGGGCCCCTCCTACAGATGGGCTTTGCTTAAAGGGCCTTACCACCTGGTTGCCCAAATCCAATTCACTCATTCCATTCCATTTTCACACAGCCTTTTCCCTCACAAAAGGTCCTATGCTCTGGCCAAACCCCCATGCTTTCCAGAGTCTGCTACTTGAACAGATCCTTTCTGTGGCTAGGAAAGACCAGAAGGAGCAGAATCCAACAGTGATTGGGGGGGGGGAAGGGGGTCTTCTCACTCACACACATAGAAATACAAACATTTATCTCACTCCCCTGGGTTTTAAAGTTAAAATTTACAGGTACTCACCTTCACCTTCTTTCCAAAGCAGCCCTTGAGCTCAAACCCAAAACTCCCTTTACTATCCTGGCTCCACATGGGCAGGGCCTGGGAAACCCATCTACAGACACAAAGAGTCTGCTGCCGGCAAGATGGGGCTTACCAGTCTCAGTACATTGGAGAGGTTAGCTTGGAGTCCCATTTCTGGGGTGCCAAATTGTTGAAAGAAAAGTCTTCATCCTGGTTCATCCAAGCCAGGGATAAATAAACAACATGGCGACTGCTTTGGGAAGAAGGTTGCAGTTTATTGAAGAGGCAGAAAGATGGTTCTTTCAGGAAAGACCAGAGAAAGAAGGGCTGAGCACATGGATAGTAGGGTTTTATAGTCTCTGAAAGCCTTTTGTTTGGAATAGTTTCCTGTTCCTGTGGCATGAACTTTGAAGCTATTTCCTGTGTCACGTATTCTGACCTGAGTTTAGGTGTGCCTCTCTGTTATTCTTTATGGTGATGGATTAGTCCTATTATCATATCCTGCTTCCCTGGTGATGGGGCTAATGGCTCCTAGAGTTTGGGTGGGATATGCAGATTTTAGGTCTTTGTCTTCTTGATCTCCTAGCTGGGGCCTTTCTGGTGGTTTACATCTGCATTTGTATAGAGCTGGCTCCTGCTTGGGACAGAGAGACTTGGAGACAGCGTTGGTTTCTACTTTTTAAAATCCTTTTGAGGAAATATATTTTTCTGCACTTTTTAATATTTCCTTCTCTGGGGCTGACTTCCCACAGAAGTTTTGGGTTTGAGCTCAAGGGCTGCTTTGGAAAGAAGGTGAAGGTGAGTACCTCTAAATTTTAATTTTAAAGCCCAGGGGAAAAAAGGAAATGTGTGTATGTTTGTGTGTGTGAGTGAGAAGACCCTTTTTCCCCATCACAGTTGGAAAATTGTCTTTGTTTGATTTCCTCTTCCTTTCTCTCTCTGTACTCTTAAGAACAGCCCAAAGTTACCAGGAGGGAATGTTTCACATTCATCTGCTGGAAAAGTTTCACTTGCATTTACTGTATGTGTTTTATCTATCTATCCTTTTCCTGAAAAATTTGAGAGCCTCCTGTAGCTCAAGTTTCCTTGTGTAGGGAAATAATCTTCTTAAGCTACTTTTCTTATCCTATCACTAAATGGTGAAACTACTATGAAGCTAATCCTGAAACATATAAGCATTTTTCAATCTCTAAAACAGGGCTTTTCAACCTTTTCACCCATTGTACCACTTTTAGGATATGGCAACATCTGAATACCACCAGTCGCCTAGCAAGGTGTCAAAAATTGATGACCAAAAAAAAAAAAAAAAAATACAATAGTTTGCTTAGTGACTGTTTGAAGTTACAATGGCACTGAAAAAAGTGCCCCCCAAGCCACAGCCGAGCAAGACATCTGCCTGCCTGCCCAGCGGTGCTCTTCCTCCTGTCCAAGGTTTTCATTGTTGTGAGCATTTAAGTTGAGGATTGGCAGTGGGGATGGGGTGGGGGGTGTTTAGTTTTTATTCCCCCCCCCGTCTGCTGGGTGGTTGCAGCAGGTTTTGGTCACTTCACATGACCCTGGGATACTGTGACCATCATAAATATGAATCAGTTGCCAAGCATCTGAATGTAAATCACAAGACCCTGGAGATGCTGCAATACATTCCAGCTGATCGGCACTTCTTTTGGGCTCAGCAGAAGCGCCAGGATCAGCGCCGAGCTTCAGCTGGAGCCTGGTGCTGATCCTGGCACTTCCGCTGAGCCCTGACAGCCCTGCAGCTCCAGCCATCTCTCGCTCAGGCTTGTGCGGTGCTGCCACCGGTTCAGCTCATTCTCCTCCCCCGCTACCACTTTTCTAGGATGGTCATGTACCACCTGCCAGGTGCCAATGTACCACAGGTGGTACCTGTACCACTCGTTGAAAAGCCCTGCACTAGAGTACCCCTAATGGCTTGCATTCACATAAGATAATTATAGCACATATTATGGCTTTGTGCTATGTATGGATAAACTCTGATTAAACATATCCCACAAATGAAATGTGCCCCTGGGCTGAGTTTAAACAATAGTTTTAATCATACCTCCTTGAATATGCAGCAAGGATTCACATTTTATGCTAATTCTTGGGTTTGGACAGAATTGAGTCAAAAACACCCAATACTATCCAACCTACAGCTTGTTATAAAAGGGAGACAGGAAAGGTTGTGTACATGTATCCTCACAATGGTACACACTTTGAGATAACTGAGATTTAGCACAGATTTATTGTATTTGTTTCATTTTATTTATTTCAACTCTCATTGAAGTACATTTTCTGAATGCTTGTTGAATTTCTCATAATTCTTTAGGATGCTGTTAAAGTAACCTGATAAGAAACTGAGGCATTTGAGTCAGTCTTTTTTAATACCACCTTTGTAGCTATTCAGTATTGAGAGAAAAGCCTTCATCCTGGTTCATCCAAGCCGGGGATAAATAAACAACATGGCGACTGCTTTGGGAAGAAGGTTGCAGTTTATTGAAGAGGCAGAAAGATGGTTCTTGCAGAAAAGACCAGAGAAAGAAGGGCTGAGCACACGGGTAGTAGGTTTTTATAATCTCTGGAAGCCTTTTGTTTGGAATAGTTTCCTGTTCCTGTGGCATGAACTATGAGGCTATTTCCTGTGTCACGTATTCTGACCTGAGTTTAGCTGTGCCTCTCTGGTATTCTTTATGGTGATGGGTTAGTCCTATTATCATATCCTGCTTCCCTGGTGATGGGGCTAATGGCTCCTAGAGTTTGGGTGGGATATACAGATTTTAGGTCTTTGTCTTCTTGATCTCCTAGCTGGGGCCTTTCTGATAGTTTACATCTGCACTTGTATAGAACTGGCTCCTGCTTGGGACAAAGAGACTTGGGGGCAGCGTTGGTTTCTGCTTTTTAAAATCCTTTTGAGGAAATATATTTTTCTGTCCTTTTTAATATTTCCTTCTCTGGGCCTGACTTCCCACTATCCCTGCTTTGTGCCTTAAGTGTGTGAATGACACACTTACTGGCACAAGATTAAAATTGATCTGGTCAGGGAGACTTGGTAGACAAGCTTTAAACTGTTAAGCCAAAAAAATAAGATACTAATGGAGGCAGCAGAAAAGGATCCCTGCTCCCAAAAGGGGAGCCTGCAACCCATAAAGTTCTAAAAGTCGGGCCCAAAAAAATTTTTTAGGTGGAAAAGAAATTTATAGTGTCCAATATTCTGTACCAATCATTTTCAAATGTTGGATGTCACTTTTAGCTTCCAGTCAGGTTTGCATATTCCTCCCAAAATTCTTCACAGCCATGGTTTTCCTCAATACATAACCACTGGCTGTCCATTTTCAAGGGTTGTTTCCTGCCTTAGCTCTTAGTTCAGTGCATCCAGGTTTGTAATGTCCAATTGAGGCTAGCCATGCAAGCCAGGCTATTAATTTTTTTTAAATTGCACATAGTGAGCTCTAGGACTCCCAATCTGAGTCCACCAGTGCAAGATATTCAGGGCTGAGGTTTGGGGATCTCTTTCTTGCTACTTCCTCAGTCAGGGCATATGAATTGCAAATTGCCTGAGGAGGCCTGGTTCCCTCCCCCTTGGAATTTTGCTGGAAGTTGTTCCTACAAAGTTTTGGTGCAATAGAGCAAAAATCAGCTTGGGTAATTGTACTGAAGGTAGGTGGAAGAGACTCAGTTTGGTTATGAATGGTGTGTGCGTGTAGGCAGCTACTAATACAAACAGACAATACAAACATTCTGGATAAATGTTCCCTCCCACCAGATAGAAGTCCAAGGTGTTCAGTACTTGCTGTGACCAGATAGAAGTCCAAGGTGTTCAGTACTTGCTGTGCCAACTATTCCCACATGCCATCTCTCCATGAATATATTCAATGGCTTGTTACAATAAAAATGGGGCAAGAAAGAAAAAACTTTACAATGAGTTTCCATCCTCCCCCCAGTCTTCCTAATTTTCTTCTGAGGCTTCCCATGGGGACCAATGGTTCCAGGATTTCTTCCTTCTGCTTTGTAGTTTTTCACAGGCATCTGGGGGAATGGTAGGACTTGGGAAGATATTCCACTCAGGTTGCATGGTGGCTTTTTAGTGGATGGCTGGATTCAAAACTCAATTCCATGGCTCAAATGGATGGAGACAGCATCTGGGTCAGTGTGCTCTGCTTTCAAAGGTTGGGGGGGGGGGTCATCTATGCAGATCTGAAAGATATAAGAACAAGGTCTCCCCCCCTTTCTGGGTGGACTCTCCCAGGAGAGGTAGGCAAAAGGTATGGAGAACAAAGGATAAGAAAAGAATTGGGAGGGGTGGTAGCTTGCAGGCAGTTTGAAAAGGCATTAATACTGCAGTTGTTAAAGAAACAGATAGGTAAACAAAATGAGGACATCCCAGATGACAAAAGAAAGGCTGGATTCTGGTAAGAGAACAATAAAATGAAATGTTTCACTTTTGAACTTGAACATTTGCAACATGTTAAAGACAAGGACTTGCAACTTGAGGGAAAAAAATGCTGGGCAGCCTGAGAATGCTGAAAGCTCCAAATAATTTTAAAAGCCTAATATTTTAAGATATGCAATTTGCCAGGGGCAGGAGAATCTGCCTTTAACATTTATTCTAAAATAGACCACATTGTTTTAAAGCAGGGCTTTTCAACCAGTGGTATGGGTACCACCTATGGTACACTGGCACCTGGTACATGACCAGCCTAGAAAAGTTGTAGCAGGGGAGGAGAATGAGCTGAACCGGTGGCAGCACTGCACAAGCCTGAGCGAGTGATGGCTGGAGCTGCAGGGCTGTCAGAGCTCAGTGGAAGCGCCAGGATCAGCGCCAGGCTTCAGCTGGAGCACGGCGCTGATCCTGGCGCTTCTGCTGAGCCCAGAAGAAGTGCCGATCAACTGGAATGTTGCAGCATCTCCAGGGTCTTGTGATTTACATTCAGATGCTTGGCAACTGATTCATATTTATGATGGTCACAGTGTCCCAGGGTCATGTGAAGTGACCAAACCCTGTTGCAACCACCCAGCAGACGGGGGGGGGGAATAAAAACCAAACACCTCCCCACCCCACCCCCACTGCCAATCCTCAACAGAAATGCTCACAACAATGAAAATCTTGGGGCAGGCGTCTTGCTCAGCTGTGGGTCAGGGGGCACTTTTTTCAGTGCCATTGTAACTTCGAACAGTCACTAAGCAAACTATTGTATTTTTTTGGGGGGGGTCATCAGTTTTTGACACCTTGCTAGGCCACTGGTGGTATTCAGATGCTGCTATATCCTAAAAGTGGTACAATGGGTGAAAAGGTTGAAAAGCCCTGCTCTAGTGAGTCAAAGTTGACAGTTTAATTATTTTAAGGTGCTCTACTAATTGTGGTTTATTCAGGAACCAAACAAACCATAACTTATTATTTGCCTCGAACATAGACTAGAAGGGCAATCCAGTTCCATAAAACGAATCCCGTTAGCATCCTTTCCTCTCAAAGGGGGTTCCTTCGTTAGGGCTCAGCTGGCCCTTTAAGAGCAGAGGCCCTCCCTCGTCGCCATGTTCGGGACCTTGGAACGCAGGCGCAGTTCGCCCTCTGGGCACAACCTCGCGTGTCCTTTGCTTGGAGAGTAGAGCGCCTGTGGAGCGTGAGCCGGGCGAGACGATGGGGCGCGGCTCGAATTGCTCTGTGAGGGGTAAGAGCGCTCAGGGAAAGGGGTTTGTGTGTGTGAGGGGCAGTCTCTTGTGTCGTTTTGCTGAGAACTTCTTCCCTCCGGCGGCAACTCTGGCGCCGGTTTTCTTTCTCCCTAAAGCTGCACCTCGCCCTCGTGGGAGGAACGGGCCACGGGTCTTTCTCGAGCTCATCCCCACGTGCGCGGCTGTCCTCGAAGACAAAGCCTGGCTGCAGTCGGAGGGAGCAGAGCGTTTGTTTTGGTCCCCGCCCGTCTTCCTCTGCGACCTTCACACGATCTCCCCCCCTTCCTCCTTTCCTGCCGGGTGCGTGTCAGGGGCTCGTCTGAAGATTGAATGCTAGCGCTGGCGCACGTGTTGTGCTCGCCCAGGGGTTTTTTCCTCACGCTCTCCCAGCATGACCTCCCACCCACCCCCCGGACTTCTCACCTTCCCAGGAGTTGAGTCCTCGCTTTTTGGGCGCTCCGCTTGTTTGCAATCGAGGAGGAAGCCCTCGGCCCCTTTTCCCTGTGGCGCCCTGCTTCCAGGTCTTATTTTTCCGCTGTTCTCTCTTGTCGAAACTCTTTTTTAAATATATACGTCGAGAACAAAGAAACTCGAGCCGTGGCATGCTCCGCTCCGAATTAGTGGGACGATGCATTTTGGATGCATTTTGTTTTCGAAACGGCGTGGGCGGGCCTCCACCAGTTCACGATGCTAGGTGGCTCTTTCAAACCACCTTTGCCCATGCTCCCTACCCTTTCTTTAATTTTTAACATGGTTGGTATAAGGTTACCCACCGGCTCTTGAACTACGTGGTCTTAGAAATCGGAAATGGGCACATAATGAATCAATGTTTAACGAGCTACTGAGTAGTTCTTGACTTAAGGCCATAATTGACCCCAACGTTAAGTGAGTTGCACTTTGTTTTATGACTTTTTGCCAGTGTTGTTAAGCGAAGCATTGCAGTTGTTAAGTGAATCATATTGTCAAGAGAAACTGGCTCCCCCCTCCACTCCCCATTGACTTTGCTTGTTCAAATTAATTGATTTATTGCTAAAAGCCTATGCAAAAGCATCCTAATGGTCAACAGTTGGTTAGGATTAGACAAGAGTCAATGGCAGTCAAGGGGGTAGGGATTGCACTTAGTTTGCTTGTGGCTCCTTAACAACTAAACTGATCCCTCTTTTTAAACTCCTTTCTCTTTTCTACCAATCCTTCTCTTACAAAAAGGTGAAGCAACCAAAAATGCTCATATCAAGCAAAGCAGAAGAGAGTTTTCATTGTGTGCTCTTTATAGTTTTGAAGATTAGGGTGTCATGCTATAAATAACCTTGGATGCCCCTAAACTTTTACATAAAATTGTAATTGTCTTTGTGCAAACAAAAACAAATGTCCTTGTGATAAGGATGTGCTTGAAACAGAAAAAAATTAACTGCTTTATTTTAAGCTCAGGACAAAACAGTCCTGCTCAGAATGTTCTATTGTTGTCTGTCTTCAGAAGGAAGAAAAGATTCCAACGTTTTGATGGGACAAAAAAAAAAAATCAAGATATTTTCAGTGTTCTGCTATAGCAAAATGATATTTCTAAACAACCCTTATTTTTGGGGTTTTGTTTGTCTTTCAAGCCATACAATTGTGAGGTAAAGCTCCAGATTAAGTGTTCCTTGTAACATATTCTACAGAAACATTGCTCAAAGAAATGTTATTTTTTAAAAAAAAATATTTTAAGAATTAGAAGTAATGAATTAAAGTGCCTTTTGCAGCATAAGAGACAGACTAAATCCACTAGCAATAATCATTTTGAGTGATTTTAGTGCAGCCAAAATATTCTACTCTATGGTCATAGGGATGAGAAAAGCCCAGATGCATATATGTGCACTGCTCATTTTTTACATATGTCTAACATCTGGCATGATGTAAGAATTCTTAACATAACAGTACAATTGCAAATTCATTATCTGAGATTTCCTTTCACTATTGCTCCAACCTGTGGTGTACTTTTGTTAATTATCAATACATGGAGGCTTTATTTTTGTGAAGGCTGGAAAGAGAAAAAAAACTTCAGTATTTGTGATACTTTGAATATATTTCAAGAGCCCTAAAATCTAAGCTTCTTCTCTTGGACTTAAGGTAATAAGATAGAATGTGTAAACATACATACAAAATAGCATTCACTTCACTGTGTGAAATATTTATGAAATGGAAAAGAACAAATTACCTTAGTTTTAGGTACACCTTTAAAATATATGTATATTATATAAAAATCCAATTTTATGTTATGCTGTATCTATGATATATAAGTACTTATTTGCCACTTGATAATAAGTAGAAGACAGCTAACTGAACTAGTACTATTTCTTCAAAAAATACCTGGGCTTTGTACCAATTGACTAGAAATATGCAGAGACAAAGAATTCCCATTGTTAGAGAATTTGTGCTACTGTCAAATTTCTCCTCCAGAGGAAAGGGAGAATAGATTGTTGTCTGTCCTTGACTGTACACCCTCCAAGAGGACTTAATCAAGAAAGTAAAATTAGCAGGAATATTGAAAGAAAGTCATTGAAGTGAAGCTAAGGTTGAACTTATTCAGACATATATCTTGAATTTCAAAGTGGATTTGTATACAGTTAGGTCAGGGGTGTCAAACTCAATTTCATTGAGGGCCACATCAGCATCGTGGTTGCCATTGGGGGAGCGGGTGGGTGTGGCTGGCATGGGCATGGCCTACTGGGTAGGTGTGGCCAGCTCCATGTCACTCACGTCAGGAGCACCTGTGCAGGCCTGGGCAGGATTGGGGCGCATCCCAGGGTGGGGAAGAGTGGGTGGGACAGGGGGCGAGCGCCAGGGCATGGTCCACTGGAGGAGCCTCACTGAGCTTCAGGCTGTGCACGGGGCCCCTGAACAGTGGCATGGACTGCCCAGAGCCCTGGGCAGCGGAGGTCAAGCACCATCTCGGCCCTTGAGCTCCCATGGCATCAGGACCCCACAGCCCTGCCTAGCCTAGCCGCACTTCCCCGAGGGGGCACCCAGCTGCACTTACCTCCTCCTCAATGCTGTTGCTGCTGCTGTGCTCACTCTCCTTGGCCAGGTTGCTCATGGGTGCAGGAGGACAAAGTGTGTGGGTCAGAGGGGGGCCCACTCCCTCTCCATGTGAGGAAACCTGGCTTTGTAACCAAAGCATCCTCAGCAATACGATGGGAGACCACCAGGAGAAGGAAAAAGGGCAACAGGGCTGCTGGTGGCCAAGTGCTAAAGCAGGACTTCCCTCAGACCCTCCCTTCCTCCCTCTTATTCCAATCTCTCTCCTCCCTCCCTACATCCCTTTCTTTCTTTCTTTCTTTCTTTCTTTCTTTCTTTCTTTCTTTCTTTCTTTCTTTCTTTCTTTCTTTCTTCCTTCCTTCCTTCTTTCCTTCCTTCCTTCCCTTTCTTTCCTTCTTCCCTTCCTCCCTCCTTCCCCTTCTTCCCTGCCTCCCTCCTTTTCATTCCCATCTCCTTCCTTCCTTCCTTCCTTCCTTCCTTCCTTCCTTCCTTCCTTCCTTCCTTCCTTCCTTCCTTCCTTCCTTCCTTCCCTCAATTTCTTCCTGTTTCCCTTCCCTCCTTCCTTCCCTCCTTTGCTCTGTGCCCAGGAAGGGATGAAGGGAGGGGGAGAGGTTGGCAGCACTTCTCTCAAAGAATAAGAGTTGGAAGAGACCTTTGAGTCCAAGCTCCTGCTCAAGCAGGGACGTATACCATTCCAGACAATGGACTATCCAATCCCTACTTAAAAGCCTCCAGTGATGGAACATCCACAACTTCTGAAGGCAAGCCTTTTCACTGGTTAGTTGTTTTCACAAGTCCTTAGTTCTAGGCTGGTTTTCTTCTTAATTAGTTTCCATCTATTATTTGCCTTCTGATGCTTTGGAAAATAGTTTGACCCCTTCTTCTCTGTGGCAGCCCATCAAATATTGGAACACTGCTATCATGTCACCACCCCTAGTCCTTTTCATTAATCTAGACATACCCAATTCCCACAAACATTTGTCATATGTTTTAGCCTCCAGCCCCCTAATCATCTATGTTTACCATCCATTTAGACCAGATGGTCCCCCTGGTTTAGTTTATAGAATAGTGGCCACAAGCAGAGCCTTCTCAGAGACAGCACCCCCCCCCCCATTATAGAACTTTCTCCCAAGGAAAATATGAACAGTGCAACCCTCATCCGTTTAGAGGCAACTCCAAATACACTGTTCAGCCAGGCATATGTAAAACTACAACAACACATTTTATGGTCAAACAGCACTAAGTAAATTACTACTAATATTTTTCTTTCTTAAAATACACACTTTTAATATTGTTTTAAGCAGTGCTAGTGATGCTTTACAATAGCTGTCTTTGAGAGTTTTCTTGTAAACCACCCTGGATTTCTCAGAAACTTTTAATTTCAAATTAGATATTGATTTAATAAATTAGGCAGAAGAATCAAATGCTTAAATACATCTAAATCCCACAGACCTACTGCCTCCTAGGCGCATACTGCAGAGAAAATAAGGTATTGCATTTCTAGCCAGCATAGCCACAGGATGATGGGAACTGTGGTTCATGACACCCAAACTATATTAGGCTGGATTAAATTATAAAAAAGCAGATGAAGGGAAGTATTTTTGTCTCTGACAAAATAATTGGGGGGGGGGAGGGAAGTTGACTCGGCCTTTTAATTTCAACTCACACCAATTCCTAACTTCCCATTCAATCCAGAGAGTTTTATTATTGCCTGGATTTTAGGGAGGGAAGGAGGCAAGAATAGATCACAAAGCTAATCTGCAAGTTTGCTCTCTTGCCTCTACCTTCCTGTGTATGTGTGTATGTGTATGAGAGACAGAGAGAGAGATCCCCTTTTTGTAAGTTTGCTTACTCTGCAACTCCCTGCTGGCTCTCTCTCTCTCTCTCTCTCAAATCTCTCTCTCTCTCATACACACACACAGGTTAATAAAAAGGAGGGGGGAGAGGTGGAAGGTCTCCTTTTTTGTAAAACCTCGGCTTCCTC